CGATACAAAGAAAAAAAAAAAAAAAAAAAAAAAGAATAATAAAGCTGGGCTTAGTGGTGCATGCCTATGATCCCAGTACTGGGGAGGCTGAGGCAGGAGGATTGCTACAAGTTCAAGGCCAGCCTGAACTACATAGCGAGACCCTGGGCACTGTGGCACAATCCTGTAACCCCAGCACAATGGGAGGCTGAGCAGGAAGATAACAAGTTTGAGCCCAGCCTGGGCAACTTAGCAACATAATGAGACCCTGTCTTAAAATTTAAAAATCTGAAAAAGGGCTGGGAATGTAGCTCAGTGTGAAAAACCCAGGCTCAATCCCCTAGCGCCACATACACACAAGAAGAATAAATAACAGCAGTCGCTAATGCCTCGATAGCACTCGTTACGTATAGCCCACTTTATATATAGGTCATTTATCCCTTACAACTGGGGGAGGCAGGCGTATTAGCACTACCCCCACTCTACATGAGTAAACTGAGATGTCCTAAGTATTAGACAAGTAACTTCAAGATCACACTGTTGGGCCGGGGATTTAGCTCAGTGGTTCCGCCACCTGCCTCACAAGTGCTAGGCCCCAAGTTCGATCCCTGGTACCAAAGAAAAGATCACACTGTTAATGATGAAAACCCAGAGACTACACTGTCACTGACAAATGGCTCCCGAGTTGGGGTGGGGTTGGAGATGGGACGGCCAGGGTTCAGGGCCTCTGGTGCTTGTTCATCCCTGTAACTCGGCTTCCCCCGGGGCCACCCCTCCAGGCACGAGGCATGGAGACTGGGGATGGACAAGGTGACGCCCTAGGGTCCGAGCTACGACAGGACGGCCCGGGCCTCACTCACATCCCCCCCCTCCCTGCAGACCCTCCAGCCACGCCCTCTAACCTGTCCTGCCTCATGAACCTCACGAGCAACAGCCTTATCTGCCAGTGGGAGCCAGGACCCGAAAGCCACCTGCCCACTAACTTCACCCTGAAAAGCTTCAAGTGAGTAGAGCCCGGGGAGGGGCCTGAGTAGGACGGTGGGCATGGGAAGGAAAAGGGAGGCTCGCTTTCCTCCTCTGCTTGGCACCAAGCCTGGCCTGTTGATAGGAGCCGGGGCGACTGCCAGACCCAGGAGGACACCATCAAGGACTGCGTGCCTGCAGCCGGGCAGAGCTACTGCTCCATCCCACGCAAGCACCTGCTCTTGTACCAGAACATGGTCATCTGGGTGCAGGCAGAGAATGCGCTGGGGACCAGCCTGTCCCCACAGCTGTGCCTTGACCCGATGGATGTTGGTGGGTGATGCTGGGTGCGGAAGGGCCAGGCGCCCACAAGGGGTGGAGCCAGAGAGGCAGAGAGAGAGAAAGAAACCTAGTGACAGACAGGTGAGCCCGGCAGAACCAGAGTACAGAGGAGAGAGACGGGGACAAAGAGGGTGCAGCTGCAGACAGAGGCATGGGGACACAGAGGCTAGGAGCGTGTTCCTGCTTTCTTTCAAATAGTTTCTCAAACTTCCCACCGTGTGCTAGGTACTATTCAAGGTCTTGGGGATATGGCAATGAACAAAATATCAACAATCCCATTTTAGGAATGTTACAGCTGGGCACAATGGCACACCCTGTAATCCTAGGACTCGGGAGGCTGAGGCAGGAGGATTACCGTGAGTTTGAGGCTGGCCTGGGCTACATAGTGAGTTCAAGCCTCACCTGAACTGCATAGTACGACCTTGTCTCAAAAAAAGCAATGTTACATTCTGGTGGGCAAAATAAATGAAGTAGAATGTCAGATGACAATGAAGGTGACCGTTAATTAGGCACTAGGTTAGGAACTGAGAGAGCAAGCCACTGGATATCTGGCAGGAAAGTGTACCAAGCAGAGGTAACAGCCAGTGCAAAGGCCCTGGGGCAAGAGCATGAAATAAAGACCTAGTGGAAAATATAACATATATACACAGACACCCACAGTGACATAGCACTATGGACAGAGATAAACACACACACACACACACACACACACACACACACACACACACACACACACAAAGATAGAGAGACAGCATGGATGGAGACCCAGAAAATAAAATGGAACCACAAACAGGGAGACGAGAGGGGCTACAGGGTAGGACAGGGAGAGGCCTGATAACCCCACTCCTTGCAGTAAAACTGGAGCCCCCCACACTGTTGGCCCTGGACCCCAACCCTGAGGTGGCCCTACCCCAGCCAGACTGCCTGTGGTTGCGCTGGGAGCCATGGAAGCCCAGCCTTTACATGAACCAGAAGTGCGAGCTGCGCTACCGGCCCCAGCTGGGAGAAGCCAGCTGGGCACAGGTGAGGCCAGAAGCCACTTCAGGAGCCTGAGGTGGGGGCCGAGGGCAGAATCCAGAGAGCAGGCTCAGAGTCACACCCCCCACCAGGTGGGCCCCCTGCCCTCCAGCACCGTCCAGTACGAGCTCTGCGGCCTCCGTCCAGCCACAGCCTATGTCCTGCAGATGCGCTGCATCCGCTGGCCCCTGCCCGGCCCCTGGAGCAGCTGGAGCCCCAGCCTGGAGCTTCAAACCGCCCAAGGGGGTAAGCAGGTGATGATGGGCTGGGTGTGGCCATAGAAAAGCCAGTCCAGTCCCAGGGCCTCCCCAACGAGCACCCTCTCCTCCTCTACACATAGCCCCCATCGTCAGACTGGACACGTGGTGGCGGCAGAGGCAGCTGGACCCTAAAACCACGGGTGTGCAGCTGTTCTGGAAGGTAACCCCTCAGAGAACCACTGCTCTGGCCGGGGATGTAGCTCCGTGGTTCCAGCACCTGCCTCGCAAGGGCAAGGTCCCGAGTTTGATCCCTGGTACCGGAAAAAAAAAAAAAAAAAAAGCCACCCCTCCACCCCGAGACCTCCTCCACCCCACACGGACCCTTCCCTTGCAGCCGGAGCCCAGGACGTCAACAGGACGGGAGGGCTTTGGCATTTATATGTGACTCGTAGGCACTCGGTGTGTGCCAATGGAGCTGAGTAGCGACCTTTAGGAGAGGTGCCAACACAGGACTCACCCGAGCCCCAAAGGGTCAGTTGGGTGAACAGCTTCCTTCCCTCCCTCCTGCAACCTGGTGCCAGGGGACAGAGTGAAGGAGGGGAGGGAAGACGCCTGGCTGCCAGGGGAGGCTCCATTCTACCCCAGCCAGGGGTGCTCCCCGACTCACAATGAGCTGTATGCCCCTCACCGCGTCCTTCCTCCGCCTGCCACAGCCCACACCCCTGGAGGAAGCCAGCGGACAGATACAAGGGTACCTGCTCTCCTGGAGCCCCGCGGGCCATGCCGGGCCGGTCCTGCCCCTCTGCAACACCACAGAGCTGAGCTGCACCTTCCGCCTGCCTTTGGGGCCCGGGGAGGTGAGCCTTGTAGCCTACAACAGAGCCGGGACCTCTCATCCCAGCCCAGTGGTCTTTCTGGAGAGCACAGGTAAGGGGGGCTGATGGCCAGAAGAGCAGGACTGTGGGGAGAGGGTGGGCTGAGCATGCAAATTCGGGGACCAAACTGCCTGGCTTCAGATCTGGGGCCGCCACGCGCTAATAGCTTGACCTACAGGATTCTTCCCTCCTCACCCTGTCTCCTCAAGGTCTAGCAAACGGGAGCGATAACAGTGCCTCCTAAGGGCTGTCTGGGGGCTGACAGGAGTTAAATTTCAGCCATGATTATCATCGGCCAGAACCTGGTTAGGCTGGCGGTGGGACCTACATATGCACGCGTGTACACACACACACACACACACACACACACACGTCAGCTCTGTCCCGAAAACAGAGAAATCCCTAAGCTTTTCCAGCTAGAACACGGTCCATGGCGAACTGCTCCCTCTAGAGCCGGAATGGCAAACCTTTCAGAGCTGTCAATGATACCAAACAGCCCGCTGCGGCACTCCGGCCACAGGTTTCCCACCACTGCCCTAGGGGAACACTCACCATCGCCCTCGGCGTCCCTAAACATGGGTCCTCACGAGGTGGATTTATAATCACAATATCAGTAACAGTCAAGAGTCCTACTTATAAGATGTGTGACCTTTGGTAAACCATTTAACCTCTCTTTGCCTCTCATTTTCCACATCGATAAACTGGGAACCAGAGTAGCAGCTCCCCAGTTAGCGGACTTGACTGTTAGAGGACTCAGGGAATTACTGTGTGTGGCAAGTACCAGGAGCCATTTAGTACCCACTGTTATCATCAAGAACAACTCTGTTCTAGGCACTGTGCTAGCCTTGTTGTGTGCATTATTTCGTTTAGAAATAACAAGATCCAATGAGACAGGAAATTTTATCATCATCACTTCCAACTTACGGATGAGGAAACTGAGGTGTTGACCTACCCAAGACACCCAGCTAGTAAGCAGCAAGGTCAGGATTTGAACCTAGGCCCCAGGCTCTGCGGCCTGCATTCTTTTCACCTTCGATCCACCATCTCCCACTGTCTCCAGGCCCAGCCCCGGCCAGGCTCCGGGCCATGGCCAGAAACCCTCAGTGCCTCTGGGTGGGCTGGGATCCTCCCAGCCCTGTCCCTCAGGGCTATGTGATTGAGTGGGACCTGAGTCCCCCCAGCCCCAGCAGCAGCAATACAACTTGGAGACTGGAATCCAACGGGAGCATCACAGAAACTCTGCTGCAGGGTGAGGAGCCAGGGGAGGGGAGGGAGAGGTGGGCAGACCGAGGAAATGGTCTGGCGTAGGCATGGGGCAGCCCCAGCAGCCCCAGAGAAGCAGAGACCCCGCCTGCCCTGCGTCTTCACTGCTCCTCACCTCACAGCCCCCAGTCAGAAAGTTCTCCCAACAGTCCAGCCGGACCCTCTCTTTCTGCACCCCTGACCCTCCTACCCTTCCAGCTCCTTCCCACCTCTCCTCCCGAACCCCCACAAAATGATCAGAAGGAGGTCAGGTCAGCTTCAGCGAGAAGTCTGAGGCTGGCTCCCAACCGTCCCCAGAGATTGGCCACCAACCAGTGCCCACCCCGTTTTATCTCTGCAGAGAACATCAGGCCCTTTCAGCTCTACGAGATCACTGTGACTCCCCTGTACCAGGGCACCATGGGACACCCCAAGAACGTCTATGTCTACTCCCAAGAAATGGGTTCGTCGGCCCATTTCCAGAATCCTCTCTTCTCTCCCCAAGCCTGGGCTCCAGAGATCAGGAACACGAGGGAACACTTCCTTCCTCCCCTAGCTCCTCCCCCGAAGAGGGTCACTCCCAATCCTAAGATTAGCCCTGGCTCACTTAGATCCCTACAGCTGGATCAAACTCAAGTGGTGGGCGATACAAACTGGGCAATGAGTCTGCTAGAATTCAGGGAGCAACTCCCCCAAAATTGATTGACCTCTCTGACAGAAGTCGAGGGTGACGTCTCATAGGAATTGGACAGAGCACCTGGCATAAATTCAGAGAGTGACAGAAACCAGATAGTGAGCCAGACAAAATCAGGCCTGGCAGAAATCAAGGAGCAAGGATTTATAGTCAAACAACTGGATTCCAATCCATGCCCTGCCACTTATAAGCAGTACACGGGATTCAGATAAAATTCCAGGGAAGACTGGGCATGGTGGCACACACTTAACATCCCTATAACTCAGGAGGCTGAGGCAGGAGGATCATGAGTTCAGGGTCAGCCTGGACAACACATTGAGTCCTTGGTTCAAAAAACCCAACCCCCCCAAAAAAAAATCTCTGGGAAGACAAGGCTTGGACAGGAGTCCCTAGGGCCCTCTTTTCTCACCAACCCATGATGTGTCCCAGTTCCTGGGTGCAGACTTTTCCCTGCCTGCTCCCTCAGCCCCTGTTCCTGTCTTCCCGCAGCCCCGCCCCGCATGCCAGTGCTGCATCTAAAGCACATCGGCAAGACCTGGGCTCAGCTGGAGTGGGTGCCCGAGGCCTCTGAGCTGGGGAAGATCCCCCTTACCCACTACACCGTCTTCTGCACCAACACGCAGGACCAATCCTTCTGTGAGTGTCTCCTCCGCTCCCCGCCTCCCCAGAAAATCCAGGAGGGGATGCTCAGCAGCTTTGGCATCCCAGCCGAGGCTGACCACATGCCCCACCCCCAGCAACCGTCCTGAACGCCTCCTCCCACGACTTCGTTCTGCGTGACCTGAAGCCCTCCACCCTGTACCACGTCCACCTCATGGCCACCAGCCAGGCCGGGGCCACCAACAGTACAATCCTCACCCTGATGACCTTGGCGCAAGGTAAAGAGACCGGTGTACGGGGCAGAGACGGCTGTGGGGAGGGTGCCCCACACAGAGGGTCCCAATTTTGAAAGTAGACAAGAGCTTGCCTCCAGATCCCCTGGTTCGAGGTAGGAGACCCAGCCTCAACCTTGGATCCCAGCCTTCTCACTCCTGTTCGAACCTCGTATTCCCCTCGCTCCAGGAGAGTCTGAGCTACACATCTTCCTAGGCGCATTTGGCATCCTGCTTCTGCTCATCCTCCTCTATGGGCTTGCCTGGCTCTGCTGCAGCCCCAGGTGAGTCCGTCTGAGAGAACCGACACCCAGCCACTCTTCCCACGGGGCACTGCAGGGTGGGCAGGCAAAGCCCCTTCCAGCTGCCCCAGACCTTGGGGGCTCCGTCTGGGGTCCTGGCCCTCCACTTCCTCCTCTCTGCTGCAAGGAGAGCAGCTACGAGGAAGTGGGACCAGGGCTGGATGGCGGGGAGGGCGTGTCTGAACCCACCTTCACCTGTCCGCTTCTGCAGCAGGAAGAACCCACTGTGGCCAAACGTGCCGGACCCGGCCCACAGCAGCCTGGGATCCTGGGTGTCCACCACCATGGCAGAGGTGAGAGCCTGCGAGGAGTTGCTGGGGCTGGGATCCTGGCTCAGGCTCAGAGTGAAGGCACACCCTCTGAGGGTGAGCACACAGCCCTTCTTATCACTTCTGGCAAGATCCCCTCCCTTGGGGTTAATGCAGACCTGAGTGAGTCTCGACCCCAGCTCAGCCCCACTCAAAGATTCAGTCACCTCCCTGTGAAAAGGAAGATGTGAACGCTAAGCACATCCCTGCACAAGTCAGATGGCAGCAGGAGCATCCCCACAACTCCCGACTCAGGGAGGGACAGGAGCTAGGGCACACGTCTCAAAAAACCACGCCTTCCCTCCATGTCCCTGTGTCCAGGAGACCTTCCAGCTGCCCAGCCTTCGGGACCCCAGCATAACATCCATCACCAAGATTACCATGCTGGAGGAGGAGAAGAAACAGCCAGGGCCCTGGGAGTCCAGTGACAGCTCAGAGACCTGCGGCCTCCCCACCCTCGTCCAGGCCTATGTGCTCCAGAGAGACCCAAGAGCATCTTCCACCCAGTCACAGCCACAGCCTGGCACCAGTGACCAGGTCTTTTATGGGCAGGTGCTGGGCAGCTCCACCACTCCAGGCCCAGGGCATTACATTCGCTGTGACTCTACTCAGCCCCTCTTGGAGGGCCTCACCCCCAGTCCTAAATCCTATGAGAATCTTTGGTTCCAAACCATTCCCCTGAGGATGCCAGGGTCTCCATCCCCAAACCAGGAGGATGACTGTGTCTTTGGGCCACTGCTCGACTTCCCTCTCCTGCAAGGGCTTCGTGTCCATGGAGTGGAGGGCCTCGGAGGCTTCTAGATTTTCCTGAGTCTCCCTACCTGGGCCTGGACTATCTAGAGGAGAGGAGGGGTCAGTAAGCCCATCACTAAATCTACCCAGGGCCGGGAAAGGCAAGAAGGTTCCCAGTCTCTCCTGATTCCTGGTTTCCAGCACCTCTTTCCCTCACAATCTCCGCAGACTGGGCCTCCCAGGCCACCTGCAAAATTTAAGGGACTGGTAATGCTCTGTCCAGCCCCACCTACTGGCCTTTTGTACTTGTTTCCTATAATAATTTCCGTCTCATAAACCATTTGTTGTTTTTCGGGGTTGGTCGTTGTGTTTTTCATTGTTTATTTGTTGTTTTTTGAAACTTGTGAGTGTTCCTGAGTCTCTGTTTCTTTTCAGGGCTCTAGTAGTCAGGGAGTTACTCAGAATCATTTGTTCAACTAGCTCTCACCTAGCATCTCCAGGGATGGCAAAACTTTTAAAGCCTTCAGTGATGAAAAACAGCCTGCTGCATCATGACTGCCACAGGCTCAACACCACTGACCAGGCTCTGTGCCAGCAGCAGAGATCCACAACCAGACAGTTCAGTCTACCCTCAGGGAACTCCCATCTTTGTGGTAGAGACCTGGATCTGGCTATTAGGGCACAGTGGCCAGGCATACAGGAGAAATGGAGTGCTGCGGGACACAGGGACGAGTCTAGGACAAGACTAATCCCCCATTGGGGAAAAATAATTCAACAAATCTCTTGCCAACCCAGAAACCCTCTCCATAAGGATAAAACAGCAAGAAAACGGTTTTGTGATTGACTAAATATTAAACTTTAACCCGGGCATGGTGGCGCACTCCGGTAATCCCAGCACTCGGGAGGCTGAGGCAGGAGGATCGCTGTGAGTTCACGACCAACCTGGGCAACATAGTGAGTTCCAGGTCAGTCTCAGCTACATATGAGACCCTGTCTCAAAAAAAAACAAACAAAAAAATTAAACTTTAAATCAAAATATGACGTTCACGGCAGATGATCCACTAGAGTTTACAAAGACCGAAAAAAAATCTTGCCATTGTATATGCCAAGTGGATACAACTCATGGCACACCCTTTAAGGTAAACAATAACTAGTGCTCAAGTAGGAGGATTTAATAGCACAGATTAATCGCCACACACAGTTCAACCTTCATTTTCTTGATAAGGTAGCCGCCTGTGTTCACTAACTGCCTTTATCCAAAGTAAAAGTACATTCCTCACATCTTCATCACAGAAAGATTTACAACTCTGAGTTAGGCCTTGGCTGAAGTTGGGGTCCTACCCTCCCACAGCAATTTAGAGGAAAGGGGAGCACAATCATTCTCGAGGATTACTTGAGCTCCTTGAGGAAAACATTCCCGGGTTTTAACAGTGGAAAGAGGTTTATTTAGCTTGTAAAAAGATTTCCTTACATCTCAAAAGAGTAGAGAAACACTTCACAAATACAAGTCTTCTAAAGTAAGTGCTCTAAGTGAGGGGGGGGGAGAATCTTTTTGCACCAGAGAGAAGGACATTTTATTTTTCACTTTTTTTTATTTACATTTGCCATTAGACCCCTCATTTCACTAGATTATCACAGCTAATCATTACTGAATATTCTTTAACTAGGTACGAACTTTGCACACAACTGCCTCAGTTAATCTTTGATACGACCGAAGATACAGGCTGTTATTACCATCCCCTATTTGAGTACAGTGTGGTCCAGAACATTTAAGTGACCTGCCCACATGGTCACCTAGTCAATAACTGAGTTAGGGTCCCAGCCCAGCGACCTCAGTCACCAAGCTACAAGGCTTAAACTCAGTTGTTCTCACAGGGCTATATCCTCGACCTTGCAACACTGCGCGAGGGTAGAGGGGGGACAAGAAGTGGGGCAGGGGTGACCGCAAACCCCAAAGTAACCGGGGCCCCAAGTCCACAAACGTAGGGAGGAATTAAGCGCGGGATGCACGTCCAAGAAAAAGTGACGTTTTAGAGCACCGCTCTCCACTGGCCACAGCTACAGCCTCAAACGGACCGGCCGCTAATCAAACCTCTCAACTCCACCCAAGGTTCCCGGTCCCCAGCGAGTCCTGCCCGCCGATCCATTCTCTCGGTTCTCGTTTACTCTTGTCGCGCTACTGCCTCGATTAGTCGAGCCTGAGCCATCATGGCGGCGTCCGTGTAACTCGAGCCGTACCTTGAAGCGGACGGTGGCCGTGGCGCGGGCCCCGCGAGGGTTGAAAGTCATCAACCATGCTGAGGGCTGCGTGGAGGGCACTGAGTTCAATTGGATCCCGGACAGCGACCCAGACCCCAGTCCTTGGTCTGCCAGGCAGAGGGCGCGCCGGGCTTCCCTCAGACCAGTGGGGCCTGCAGCCTCAAAGTGAGGAGTCGAGAAACGGCACAGCAGGAGCAGGGAAATGGGGCTCTGCGGAGATCAAGGATAGCCAGGGCCCGGGGTAGGGAAGAAGAGCATCGGCAGGCGACGGGAGAAAGGATGGTGGCTGGAGAAGCGGGACAAGATGGGAGAGACGGGGCGGTGAGGTTGGGACGACGGGCACAGGGCACACAGACTATGAAGGAGGGGCCTGAACAGTGCACAGAAAGGAACCAGGCTGGGCTCTTGGAAAACAGTCTTAGCCTTCTCTGTTCTGCCTAGGTCTTCTACAGGCCGCTCGTGGGTATGCCATCCAGAAACCAGGTAGGAAGGCCCTGGGGTGAGCCTCAAGGCGGCAGAGAGACTGCCCGGAAGGCTTGGGGTGACCAGAGGGACATAGGTAGTGAGTTAGAGCCACTTGATGGGCTGGGCAAAGGAGTGGGCCAGAGGTCCTGAGCAGAAGACCCTCACATCCACATTCTATGGAGCTCTAAGCCAGAAGCCTTCATAGTGAGGAAGAGTAAAAGCTTTCACTGGACATGAGCGAAAACTGCTCGCCGGAATGAGTGGTGGCTGGCACCACTCAGACCTTCCTAGAGTACAGCACTGTGCCTGCCCTTCTGAGGTGGAGGATGTAGCGTCCCATTCCAAGGCAGTATGCGTAAAATCCCTCTTCCTAGCTACTTTGGACAAGCTCTTTCCTCTCTCAGCCTCCTTTCTAGAATATTAGTCTCCACTGGAGAGCATTGCAGTTGGAATCCCATGATAACACATGAAAAGCATTCTTAGCACTGTGTTCAGTGAATTGTGAGATAGATGGTACACAAATAGGTATTTATTAGTGTTGTTTGCACAACAGAGTCTGGAGAGAACAGATTGATCTGTCCTGTGCCAAGTTGATCTATCCCCTCACCTCTGGGGATTGCAGAATATGCACGACAAAGTTGAGCTTTTTTTGTATCCTATACTCAGATGCAGCTTTTTCTGTACCTATCCTCGGTGTGTATGCTTCAAGGTGTCCTAAAGCTAGTCATCCTTCCTCAGCCTCCATATTTCATTGATGCAATCAGCCAGCAAGTATTTTTTGAATTCCTATACTAGGCTGGGACATGCACCACACTGTGGAGAGTCCAAAGTGAGTTAAATTCAGTCCTGTCCAGAGGAACCCATCCTTTCGGGGAACCTGGTAATGTAGAACCAGGCAGATATGTGAGAGATGCTGATACAGTACATAGTCTTGGGAAAATCCATTTACTTCCAGCATGAAATATCAAAGCAAGTGCCCACAGGGTTTGCAGAGGAGAAACAGCCTTGAGATATCCAGTCCCCTGCCTGAGACCCTAGGTATCTCTCCCAGAGTTGGGGACTGGGCCAGAAGAGCCAGGTCTAGGAGAATGAGCTGTGAGAGTTGACGCTGGGTAATTCCCATCCCTATGCATGACAGTCCAGCCCAGCCACGACAGTGACCCACCCTCTTCCATGCTGCTCAAGGACTACCGGAACATCCCTGGGATTGAGAAGTAAGCAGGGGAAAACCTGGAGGCATGGGGCCCTGGGAACATTGGCAGGGAGTGGGGGAAGAGTGGCTTTGAGATGTGGCCTAGATTATAGAACAGGGCAGAGAGCTGTAGAGACTCAGGTATGCTGAGGGTGAGCAGGTGGCAGCAGACTCCATCTACCTGCTTTTTTTTTTTTTTCAGTCCTGGGAATTGAACACAGGACCTTGCAAGTGTTAGGCAAGTTACCACCGAGCTACATCTCCAGCATTCTCTTAAATTTTATTTTGAGACAGTGTCTCCCTAGGTTGCTCAGGCAGGCCTCAAACTTATAATACTTGCTTCAGCTTCCCAAGTAGTAGGGGTTATAGGTGTGCACTTTCATGCCCAGCTATCCTTTTTTTTTTTTTTTTTTTTTTTCTTGGTACAGGTAAAGACCTTACGCTTTCAAGACGGGCGCAGTGCCACTGAGCTAAATCCCTGGCCTACCTGCTTTTTTTTTTTTTATCCTTGCTTTGAAAACTAAAATGAAAACAGCATTTCTTCCCCTTCCCTCTCTCCTCCTTCACTTGCCTCTTATCGCTCCTGTTTTTTCACAGGGTTGATGATGTTGTGAAAAGACTCTTGTCTTTGGAAATGGCCAGCCGGGTAAGTCTCTGTGCCAGATCTCAGCCATTGCCTCCCTCAGCCCTCTCCCCTGGGACTCCCTCCTCACCTGGTTAGCACCCCCGTCGCAGTCACAGCACTTATTCCACTGTTATTCTGTGCCCATGTGTCAGTACCCCCAGACTGGCCACCTCCAAGGCGGGGACAGTTTTGTTTCTTCATTGTACCTGACACCTGATGACAGCAGGAACTCCATAAAGATGTGTGTGCGAATGACTTTGCAAACTTTGGGAACATTCATCCAACAAGTGATTTCTCTTTTCAGTGTCTTTGGCCTTGGACTTACCTGAATGTGAATAGCCATGTGGTTAGCCAATACCATGGTTAGCAGCACAGTGTCTTATGGGCCTTATGGGCCTAGTCGTAATAACTGCAGCTACGGCCTTGGAACAGGAAGTTAAATCTTAGGAGGTGGCAGACTGCACAAATCTTCTCAATCTCTGTCTTCAACAGAAAGAGACGCTAAAAATCAAGCAAGAATGGTTGATGAACAAGGTCATGGCAAACCCTGAGGACACAAAATCTCTGGAAACTCGAAGTTGGTCAAGGGGCCCTCAGGGAGTGGGGTTGTAAGGGAGGCTGCTAGCTAGGACTCTTATCTACAAACCCACTAGATATGGCTTGGTAAAGGGAGGACCTAGGACAATGACAACTGGACTCTGGGTCCCATGCTCTGTGATGCTGATATTAACACCCAGGTCCTGCCTTGTACCTCTGAGCTTGAACAAGTCACCAATCTTCTCTGGAGCCTCTGCTTCCTAGTCTAAAATTGGGGGCAGCTGGGCAGGCAGAGTTATAGCCACCTACCCTGTGGCAGGATGGTGAGATGCTAGGGAAGTGGGTGTAAGCTATATTGGAAACGAAAGCTCATACTTTAGTGATAATAATAGTAAGCTTAACATCCATGGAACCTTCATGTGCCAGACAGACAGGCAGAACTTTCCTTCTCTGTTTTTGAGTTGAAATGGGCTTTAATTCTCATTAGATGTGAGTAAAAAGCCCACTACCACAACCCCTTGCTTTGGGTGGAGTTCATCTTCACTGACCACTGGGAGCGGTGAGGTAGACTGGTGGACATTTTCTTTCTGTTAGTACAACCTCTGCCTCCACCTCCCTATTCCCTACCTTCTTTTTCTTCGCCCTCTATCAGAAAGAGTTCTTGGCTACCAAACCCCACGCCAAAGGTCCAGAGGCCCCACGGAGAAGGCTCAGTAGCCCCTTTTGGAAAGATAAGTTTCCTTTTCCCTGGCCCTCGGAGGCCCTGACAGGCCTAGGGACCATCTCAGCCACGAAAAGGATCTCACCTTCTGTTTCTGTGTTACCACTGCCAAACTCTCCTAGGTAGGCAGGACTAGGGGGCCTGTTGCCAGCCAGAGAGCTAATAACTGGGGTCTGCTTTAACCCTAATAATAATAGCAGCCAGCATGATGGATTTAAAGTCTTTAGGCCCCATGCTGAATGCTTTACATGTATCGTCTCATTTAACCATTACAACTGTTTCACTTTGCCGTTTCACAGAGGAACAGTCTAGTTTTGGAGTGACTAAACGACTCCTTGAGGCTCATGACTAGGAAGTACTGAGACTTGAAACCAGGCAGTCTTGCTACAGGGCCTGTATTGGATTGATGCTGCCATTCCAGATTACTCAGTTTTCTGAATCGGTTGTTTGTTGCTCAGAGTCTGCCCCAGAGAGCCCCTCAGGAGCCAAAAGCCTACCTCTCAGTCTCTTCATTCTGCAGCTAAGGTAGTAAGGAAGGGCCGTGTGGTCAAGGCCGAGGTCCCCACTGCACTTTTAACAGGGCTCGCAGAACTCAGTGTGTGCACTGGGAAGGGCCTGCTTGAGTGGCCTCCTCCCCGTGTGGCCAACTTCTGCTTCTGCCCCCATCTCTCCAATACGAATGGGAACCACATAAGAGGACCAGTATCCCAGGGCCTCAGAAGACAAGTGGAGCTGATGATTCTGAAAAGTATGTGGAAAAAAGGGCAAGGGATACAGCTCAGTGGCACCGTGCCTGCCTAGCAAGCTCAAGGTCCTGAGTTCAATTCCTGGTTCTGCCCAAAACAGGGGGCAGGCTTTGGGTTCCATCCCCAATACCAAAAGTAGGTGGAAAAAGCACAGAAATAAGTATGGCAGCTGAAGAGACCCTGTCTCAGAATGAAAACATTAAGAAAGGGCTGGGGGTGTAGCTCAATGGGAAGGCCCTAAATTCAATCCCCAGTATGGAGGGAGGGGGGTGGGGCTATTTACTCTGATTTGGCACCATACCTTTATAAGAGTAAAGAATTTCCCTTCCTTAGACATTGCTTTCTAGAGCAAATATTATCCAGTCTTTGGAGATCTTGAAATTCAAAGTGCTTGGGATTTGGGACTTACAGAGAGCTGTAGAAGACCACTGGTGATTGTTATTCTTTCAGTTCTGAAAACATAACACGAGCCTGGGCCCTTCCTTCCTCTGTGCCTGGTTCTCATCCTCTGTGGTCTCTGGTTTCAGTTGTTGCCTTGACCGTCAAGATCCACAATTATGAAGAACATATGCAGAAACATCTAAAGGTAAACCCTGAACATCACTCCCATTAAACAACAGCAACCTGGGCAGAGGGGTCTGGAAGGTGAAGGGATCTGGGTCGCAAGAAGCTAGTGACTGACACCAGAATGCCCATTCCTCACCTGCAATGGGAGAAACACTTCCCTCCTGCCTCCAGAGGAGCAGTGGGGGCCTTGCAGGGCTATGTTGAGTGTCATCAGAAAACTTTAGAGCGTGGTCACTCTATGGCACCTCATGGGTGCTGAATAAATATTTGTTGAATGCATGAAGTAAGTCACAGTGCCCTTTTCAGACCCCAGCTCTGCCACTTCCATTCAACTAGCCACGTGACTTTGGGGAAGTTACAGATCTGAGTTTTTCTTTACCTGTAAGGTAGGGACTGTAGCCAGATGTGGTGGCACACACCTCTAATCCCAGCACTCAAACCAGGCATGGTGACACAGGCCTATAATCCCAGCACACAGGAGGCTGAAGCTGGAGGATCCCTGTAAGTTCAAGGCTACCCTGAACTATAAAGTGAGACCCTATCTTAAAAAAACAAAAATCAGGGCTAGGGATTTAGCTCAGTGGTGCTGCACCTGCCTTGCAAGTGCAAGGTCTTGAGTTTGATCCCTGGTACCAAAAAAAAAAAAAATCCAAAACAAAACAAAAAGTCCCAGCACTCTTATGAGGCTGAGGTAGGAGGATCATAGGTTCAAGCCCAACCTGGGCCTGTCTCAAAATAAAAATAAAAAGGGCTAGAGATGTAGCTCAGTGAAAAGGCAGTGTACTGGAAAGAAAAAAAGAAGAACAAAGGAAGGAAGTAAAGGAGGGAGGGACGGAGGAAGGAAGGATGGGGAAAAGGAAGGAATAGAGCAAGCAAGCCCGGCGTGGTGGCACCCCAGCACAGTAGTCCCAGCACTCAGAAGGCTGAGGCAGGAGGATCCCTGCAAGTTCAAGGCCAGCCTGGACTACATAGTGAGTTCAAACCCAGCCTCAACTGTATAATGAAATCCTGTCTCAAAAAAAGAAAAAAGAAAAAGGAAGAAGCCGGGCGTGGGGGCACACGCCTGTAATCCCAGCACTCGGGAGACTGAGGCAGGAGGATCCTTGTGAGTTCAAGACCAGCCTGGGCTACACAGTGAGTTCCAAGTCAGTCTCACTATGTAGTAAGACCCTGTCTCAAAAAACCAAAAAAAAACAAAGAAAAAGGAAGAAAAGGAAAAGAAGATAAGAGTACCTGCTTACAGGATTGCAAGAATCACATGAGATAGTAATAGCCAGCGTGATACATTTAAAGTCTTTAGGGGCTGGGAACGTAGCTCAGCAGCACAGTGCCTGCGTGGCAAGTGCAAGGTCTTGAGTCTGATCCCAGTACCAAAATTTAAATTAAATTTTAAAATTAAGTCTTTGGGCCCCATGCTGAATGCTTTATATGTATCATCTCATTTAACCTTCACAACTGTCTGCCATCTCACAGAGGAACAGTCTAGTTGTGGAGTGAGTAAGTTATTCCTCAAGGCTCGTGACTAGGAAGTGAGGGCTGAGACTGGAAAGCAGGCAGTCTTGCTCCAGGGCCGGTGTTCGTGACCACGGTGCCCTGTCTCAGCGCAACACCTGGCACAGAGCTGCTGTAGTTAGGCATTTGCCATCGTGACTAATAAACACGAACAGAGAACAGTCCAGTACTGCACCGAGCACCTCAGACCGCCCTGGTGGGAGATCAGCTTTGTTCGCCTGGGTATGGAACACTTCCACCACCGCCGAGGACCCTCACAGGGCGGAGTCAGATCAGTAGACTTGCATGCAAGACCTGCCCTCCGCACCTACAGTTCTGAGGGCCTTTTGTGAACCTTTACTTCCCCATGTGTGAAATATAAATATCAATGACAGTACATCCTCACACCAATACTTGGTGAAGATTGTTGGGAAGTTTCAATGAATGCCAAAGTGACCACCCTTCGTTACTGTGAATACCAGTAATGCTTATTTATAGGATACTAAAATTAATACAGACTTTCTCATAGGACAAAACCCACAAACGCTATCTGCTGATGAGCATTGACCAGAGGAGGAAGATGCTCAAAAATCTCCGGAAGACCAACTTCGATGCCTTTGAGAGGATATGCAGAGAGCTGCAGATCGAGTACACCTTCCCGCCTCTGTACTACCGAGCAGCCCACCGCCGCTTTTTGGCCAAGAGGGCTCTGTGCCTCCAGGTACAAGTCAGAGCCGCTGCATTGGACGGCCTCGCTCTGGGCCTGGCGGGGAGGAATGGAAGAGTGGGGTTGTCTATTTCTGGTAGAGTCCTGAACCGACCCCTGGGGGGTCAGCAGCCACCAACCCCGTGAGAAAGGCTAGGATTCCCATTTTGTACAAATGCAAAGTCTTTTCCTGCCCTCTTCTTTCCCACAGGTTTTCCAGGAGGTACAAAAGATAAAGAAACAAAAAAGGGCTTTAAAAGCAGCAGCCGCCGCCCAAAGACAAGGTGACCAGGGGAAACCAAAGACCCCGCCCCAAGCCTATGCAGAGGCACTCAGAGAAAACTACTAAAATAAAATTAAAAAAAAAAAAAAAAGAAAACGAATAAAGTCTGGAAAAATTCTTTCTTTCTGCCTTGAAGAATTATAGGAAAGTAGGTGGCACTCTTTATTTTGGCTCAAGGAAGAGGAGACGTTTATTCTTTCATCCAGTTGTAGGATCTCAGAGTTGTCAGAGGAAAGTCCCTCACTACCACAGGACAGTCAGATAAAGTGGGAAGGCCAGTGTTTGCAACTGCCTTCTGGACTGGGCCCTAAAGGATGGGCAGGAGTTCACTGGGCAGAGAGGGAAGGGTCGCATCCAAGCAGAAGGAGTTGGAAGTCCAAAAACACGGAAGTCTAGGGGTACATTTTTAGGGAACGCTGCAGCTGGACTTCGGAGGCTGTGAGCTAGGCTGAGAAACTTGCACACTGTCCTGTAAGGAGAAACAGTTCGAAACCAAAGGAGTGATGCTACCAGCAGTGCTGCTTTAGGTAGTTAGGCAGCAGCTGTGTGGAACATGAATGAGGGGAGAAAAGAGCCATTTATTATTTGGGGAATAGTGTCATTGGTGTCCACGATGTTACACCTGATGAAAAACAAGTCTATCCTCAGGAAACTGTATCTGTCCAATAATTAGCAATTGCCATTATTATTAATAAATATGAGGGCCGGAGATTTAGCTCAGTGGTTCCACCACCTGCCTTGCAAGCACAAGGACCCGAGTTTGATCCCCAGTACCAAATAAATAAACACGAAGAGAACAGTCCAGTGCTGGGCCAGGTACCTCGGTGCTCCCCGGAGATCGGTAGTGAAGTTTAGTCATGTTAGCATTTCATTAAAATTTCCCAAGCACTGCTTATCAATTCTGGGTAGGAGAGTTACACAGAACCCATTCTCCCTAAATCCCTCCCATTTACATCTACCCCAAGGTAAGTGGGGAGGCCTCAAAGCCTGGGCATGCCTGGTGTGTTTAAAGAACCTAAGGAAGACAGCATATCACACTGAGTAAGCAAAGAGAAAATCAGGGAGAGATGAAGCAGAAGGGTAGGCAGACATCACAGGTAGAGCTCTCTGGGTATGACAAACTGCTCAGGCCACCACGGTAAAGTGTCACAGATTCAGTACGTTAAAGTTCTGAAGGTGGCCGGGCATGGTGCACGTTCCTGTAGACCCGGCACTTGGGAAGCTGAAGCAGGAAGAGTGCCACAAGCCTGAGGCCAGCCTGGGCTACAGAGCAAGACCCTGTCTCAAAACTACACCCCCCAAAAAAGTTCTGGAGCTTGCAAAATCCATGATCGAGGTGCTAGCTGATTCCATTGATTCCATTTCTTTTTCCCTTTTTTTTTTGGTACTAGAGATTGAACTCAGGACCTTGTGCTTGTGCGGCAGGTGCACCTACATCCCTAGCGATTCCATTTCTGAGGAGGGCTCTTCTAGCTTGCCACCTTCTCATATGTCTTCACATGGTCTTCCCTTGGTGCATGCACTAGGAGGAAAAGATCCGCATGTATCTGTGTCTCTTAAGGCCACTAATCCTATCCAGAAGGCCCCACCAGTCTATACCGCAGCAAATTTAAACCCCTTTAGGAGCCAGGCAGGTAACAAATCCATGAAGGCCCAGCATAAAGTCATGATGCTGTTTATTACATACCTGTCCTAGCTATAGTCCCTAAAAAGTCACTGCAGTGCTTAGATCAGGCAAAACAACCAAGGACTTGCTCTGGCAGCTTTCAGTAGATGTAGAGTCCTGATGTTGAGATGTCAACTAAGGGAAGAGCCATAAAGAATTCGTGGTGAAGCATTTTAGTGGAGTGAGGTGTGGAATTCGGATACTGAGGAAGCTCAGACTGTGAGTTAAGACTTTCAAAAGGTGTGGCTGGAATGAGAAAAAAAAAAACAGACTAGAAGGCCAGGCATGGTGGCGCACGCCTGTAATCCCAGCTTTCGGGCGGCTGAGGCAGGAGGATCGCTGTGAGTTCCAGGTCAGTTTCAACTACATAGTGATACTCTGTCTCAAAAAAACAAAGACAGACTAGAGAGTGTGGAATGGAGGGAAGAAAATAACATGGGAAGGACTTGACCTTGGCTCATGTTAAAACTCCCCAACAGTTATGAGGAAAAGATCCTGCGTGTGCTGCCCACATAAAAGACAACTTGAGTTCCTCTAGACCAGAAGTCTGGGAAGTCTGGTGCAGAAGTTGGCTCTGGAAAGGTGGTTGGAGCCAGAATGGAGAGCCCAGGCCATGCCAAGTCACCTAGGCTGTGGTCTGCCGGACAGCGAGAAGCAACTAAAGAAATGTGCATATTTAAAGGGGTATTTTCTGAAAGTTAGCCTAGATCAGTGCAGCAGGGTGCAGGAGAGAAGAGAGCAGTGATATAGAACATAATGCAGAAAGAAAAGGAAACTAAAGTATAAATGTGAGGAAGACTTTGGAAGAAAAAACAAATTTTGACGAGTGAACACAGGAGTCAGATTTGGAAGTCAAGTTTCAAGTCTGCAGTAGCTGGCGGAAAGATGATTGGTAGGTTTTAGAAGTATTGGAATTTACATTAATGGTCATTCATCAAAGTAAAACATATAGCAGATAGGGTGATTCTAGAGCTCAAGATGGAGGTGAAAGAGCTGGGCGTGGTGGCACACACAATCCAAGCCCTCAAGAAGCAAGTTCAAGGCCAGCCCAGGTTACATCAGGAGTCCAAAGGCAGCCCGAACTGCACAGCGAGAACCTGTTTTAGAAAACAAAAAACAAGACCAAAATAGTAATAATAGGGACAAAGATTTAGCTCAGTGCCTGCCTCACAAGTGCAAGGTCCTGAGTTCGATCCCCAGTACCGAAATAATAACGTGAAGAGGTCCACTGCCTTCAAAGCAGAGAAAGTTGGCAGGCCCGGTTAACACTGGCTAACAGAGCAGAGAGAGGTTTGGAGTTCAGGGAGACAGAAATAGGCCTGGCTTGCCTCACTGAGCTGAAACAGGGTGGAGGGATCCCAAGCACACTTTAGGAAGGAAAGGCAAATGAATTGAGGACAGGTTTCCTTCCCCACCGGAAAGAAACGTCAGTATTCAGTGGTTTGTTTGTTTGTTTGATTTTTGCGGTACCAGGGATCCAACTGCAAAGCAGGCGCAGTGCCACTGAGCTAAATCCCCCGCAAGTATTCAGTATTAAAACGCCATTTCTGTGAATGTTTTCCCGGCGTTTCCTACAATCTCTCAGATTCCGCTCGGCAGCCCTGTGAAGTGAACACGACCTCTGTCAGGCCTGCCCTAAATCAACAAGGAAAATAAACAGGCTGCTTTTAACAAATAGCAGCAGCTTCTCCTACGTGACGTAAATGGACTCAAAAATGTCTATCACCCCCTGGCGCCGAACAGGAGTATACACACCTGAGCAGACGGTCCAAACCACCGTAAGTCATAAATATGTCACCCCAGATTCCTCAGCCCCTTCAATACCTACATAAGCCCAATTCCTTTCCCAGTTAATTGCTAGCGTCTCTCCTGGTGCTAGCCCATCCTCTCAGGGATGAAATCTCTCCCAGTTTAGCCACCACTATCTCTCTCCCCGTCTCCCTGCTAGCCCTTAGAATCCCCTGACCTTAGTCCCTGTCCCTGGTCACTGGAATAAACTTCTTTTTCTCTCAACGGAGAGCCTGTCTTTTGTTGACAAGTGGATTCTTTATAACAACCTCCACTTTACAAACGAAGAAACCGAGTTCCAAAATCCTGCCCCCAAGTCATACAGCAGGTGAAGGCAAGTCGCGATTGCAACCCAGTTCCCTTTGACCCGAGTGTGCTCCAGAGGGGTTTTGCTAGAGCTTTCTTCCTTCACCCGGCTGTAGAGCTGCCAGGCCATAGTCTTCAGGCGTAGACTCGGGAAATTCAAAACACACCGCTCCGCAGAGCAGGCTCAGTCCCTCCCTCCTACATCCGGCTCGGACCAATCCCCTGGGGCGGTCCTTACCACCCAGCCCAATGAGTCTCTGCTGTCAGGGCACCTCCCACCAAACCGCCTTCTGATTGGCTCGCGTTGTCATTCTTTGGCGTTGCCCTAGCAACCAGGCTCCGAACGCGCAGCGGCCTGCAAGGTCCTGGCTACCGACCCCCGGGGCTCTTCAACTACCTTGTTGGTTCCCAGCGCCATGTCGGTTCGGACGCTACCGCTGCTCTTCTTGAACTTGGGTGGGGAGATGCTTTACATCCTTGACCAGCGGCTGCGGGCCCAGAACATCCCAGCAGACAAGGCCCGCAAAGGTGAGAGGGGTTCGGTCCGCACAGCCAGACCCGCATCCCGCACCCAACACCCACCGGCAGACAAACCTCCCTCAAAATCACTCTTCTAGCCCGGTGACCTTACAAACCACAGCTCCCATCCAGTTGAAGCCCGCCAGGAGTCAAATTCTCCAAAAGATCTTTTCCCAGCAGAGGAAATTAACACCCCGTTGGATATAAGTAGAGTACCTGATCCTGCTTATTCTCCATCTCTTCAAATGAGAGAGACAATTTCCCAACATTTCTTGAAAACCGGTCCCTTCGAAAAGCAGGAGTCCCACCCAGCTGCTCACCACCTGGCAGCACCCTGCCGGTTCGAGCATTGCCTTTATCCACAAACGAACAGGTTCTGATTCTCCCTTCCTCTATGTGGCACCCTCCCCGCACAAGCTGGAGATTAGTCCTGCTCATTTCAGAAGCCATTTCTAGACATGTAGGGGTCTTAAATAGTGCAGATAAGTAAGGAAATATAGAGAGCTCGTAAATGATTTCTTCACTAGGGCTGGAGGGATCGCAGTTGTGAAAACGCTGTGAGAGCTTCAAAAAGCAAAATCGGGCTTCCGTACACACCGCCTGCTAGTCCCAGAGAAACGGCCACACGAAACAATGTGCCGCGCTCTTCCATTCCCTCTTTTCCTCCCTTCTCAGTAAATCCTTACGTCAAATATTCTGGTACTGTGTGAAGAAAATATATTTCAAGGTGGAGGAAAAGTTGATATCAAGGTGATTGACATGGCCGCTGATTAAAATGCTCATTCTCTCCTGGGCCTTGTGGCCCATACCTGTAATCCCGGTTACTCGGGAGGCAGGGTCAGGGTGAGCTGGAGGCCACCCTGAGCAATCTGGCCAGACCCTGGTTCAAAATAAAATTTCAGAAGGATTTGTAGGTGTAGCCCAGTAGTAAGAATGCTCCTGGGGCCAGGCATCAAGGTGCACACCTGTAATCCCAGCACTCGGGAGACTGAGGCAGCAGAATCACTGCAAGTTCGAGTAAGTTACATAGTATATTCAAGGTCAGCCTGAACTACATAGTAAGACTCTGTACCAAAAAAAAAAGCTCCTGTGTTCATTCTCCAGTATGGGCGGGTATTCTCTCCAGGGTGTCTGTATGCTCACTTAATGTTACCTATTATACAAATCATATACAATACATATTCAGTCACGAACTGTTGTGTTCTATGACTGTGTCCAGGTTCACGCACACCACCTCCATTCTCCACACTGCTGTCAATGAGGCAGGCTTTCCAGTGCAGATCTGTCCATACTTCCCCCTACTGAAAACCTTAGCTAGCTTTCCACTGCTGTCTGGAGGCTCAGCTCTTACAGGGGACATTTTGGGGTCTTTCCGCATCTCACCTCCCGCCACTGCCTTCCACACTACACTGCTTGTAGAGCTCCACTGGACCCTGTTCCTTCATGTCTCCCTGAGTATAATCCCAACCCTTCATCCTTCCCACTTCCATCCTGAATCATTCCGCGGGAGAACCATGCTCCTTCTGGAGGCCTCCCCATGAGGAGGAAGGGCCTGTCCGTACTCTCACAGCTCCTGCATTCCCCTAGCACTCCACACGTTTCTCTCTGCCTTGTCACTCACTGGGCCACGTCCTACTGAAATGACCCGTATGCGTGTGTTTCCTTCCCTTTGATAACCCTGTTCCTCTTTGTACTCCAGCACGCAGCCTAATGCCTAGACCAGAATAAGTCAGTGCTCAGTAAGTGTTTGTAGAACTGACAGTCCAAAGGGGCAGTTTTATATGACGCTGTCATTTCTCCCTCCAGAGGGTTGTTTTCCTGGTGTCTGGGTGATCTGCTTTCTTTCATTCAGGCTAATGGCACCAGTGGGGTAACAAACCAGGCTTCTCTGCTGATCGTCTGCATCTTGGAAGAACAGTGTAAACTGCTTAACAGCATAATTTCCTGAGTCACAGATCTGGATCCCTGTTCAGTTTTGCCATTTAGCTAGTTGCGTGACCTCAGAGTGTCACCTCTATAAGCCTGTTTCTAAAAAAGAAAGAAAGAAAAGAGTACAGAACTGAAAGCTAAGTTGTAAGAATTGACTGAAGCAGAGTAATTAACATGTTTGGCACAGTGAGTAGGGTCTTATCTTTCAAGAGGAGGCCTGGGCAAGCCCCTGTGAATACTAGGGCATGAGCTTTATCTTCAAGAGCTCTAGTCCTCCTGGTTTTACTACATCAGTCTTAAAGAGTTTGAGCCATCTTCAGTAATTCACTTTCACACACTCATTCGCCCACTTCCGGGCTGATGAGACGCTGGGTGGAGCCCTGATTTGGCTCTTCTTGCATCCCTGGAGGTAGGGCTCTTTTTAGCCCAGTCCAGTAACTGACTGTAAAACTGAGGAGCACGTCTTCCAAATGACAACAGTACAACAGGTTTTTTGGGGGTCTGTTTTTTTGAGACAGAGCCTCCCTCTATACAGTTTAGACTGATCTGAAACTCACTGTGTGGCCCAGGCTGGCCTCAAACTCATGGTGATTCTCCTGCCTCAGCTTCCCGAATGTTGGGGTTACAGGCATGCGCCACTACACACAGCATACAACACTTTTTAAAAACTATTCCGTCACATAGGTAATGTTACTGTCCCCATTTTATAGACAAGAAAACTAAAGCTTTTTTTGCACAGGGCTACATAGCTGGTAAGAGGAAAAATAAAGGATTTGAAAACCCCAGAGCCTCAGGCCCCAGAGGCTATGACCCTAGACATCAAGCCTTTATTGCTGTACTGTGCGGTCATGTATGGGGGCTCAGTAGATCAGGAGGAGAGGGAGAGCTTTGGGAAAACTGTATCTAATATGCCCACTGATTTTATTTTTTAAATGATAGAGTAGTTATCTGATGGTGATTTGTAACGCGGAGAGCATGGAACTCAAAGCTGAGACACACTGGTCTCTCCCACTGTGTGGAGTTGGTGAGGCTGCAGGAGCAGGAGCAGGAGCCACTGGCGGGTGCCTGGATATAAAACACCAGCCGTGGTAAACTGGTCCTCCCGGAGGCTCAGAATGGAAATCGTATTTCTTCTAGATATTTTCATTATCTTACACAACTAACTGGTCTCCTGGAAGCCGTCCCTGATCCCACAGGGCCGATGCAGCGTTAGTTTCCTCCACCACACAGCTCCAGCTTAGCCTTTAACAGAAAGGAAGCACGCTCTTTATGGGGCAGCCTTACCGCCTGAGTATTGCATGTAGCCCCACATTTTAAGCAATAGCTAGAACAGTAAAAGCTCCAAGAGGAAACTGAGGCATGGAGCAAGGAAGTGATTTTTTTTTTGTTTTTGTTCGTTTGTTTGTTTTTGGTTCCAATTTAAACAGCCAGCCCTGGATAGCCTTGGGCCTGCCTTCCACTCAAAACATAACTAAAATGAAATTGTCACAAACGAGTCATCTAGAAAATAGAAAAACAACTCGGCGCGGTTTGCCGGAACCCTCAGGAGGGAAGAGGTGGGAGCTCGCAGTCCTCTTAGCGCCCTCTGGTGGCCATGAGCCTCGATGCAGGCTGAAGTGCGTCTGCCAGTTCCGTTTTACCCGCTGTAGGCACGGTTCTCCCATCCCTGTTTCAAGAGGATCAAAACGCCTCCTCAGAGTTACCCCATGCCTTGCCATGCTAGACCTCCGGTGAAATAAATGCCGCAGGAAGATGGATATCATGCCTACAACTAAGTAACTGCCGTTAAGGCCAGACGGGCTGCTGCTCCCCCAGTGTGGTCTCCAAAAGTGGTGACTCGAGGGAGAAGGTGGTGACTGTTCCCAGGGGAATCTGGCCTCGCGGTGGGAACCCTTTGCAGCCAGCGAGGCTGTGGGGCTATTGGTGTTGTCTGTACAAGCCATGCTGGTGTGTGCCGAAGCCACGTGTAAGCTTTAAGCATCATTTCAAAAACCACCCACAAAACTACACAGTGGCAACTGTTTCCAAAAGAGACCATTAAGTACAAAATATTTTTTAAATGTGGGTGTGTGTAGAATTCTGCTTACCTGAGGGTGGTTTGCTGGGTTGAAGTCTTCCCCCCAAACTAAGAAAAGAGTCAGGTTTCATCTCTCATGGTGTCCAATGGGACTAGACCAGGAGGCGGCAGTTTCGCGCGTTTATCCCCGCAACAGCCCTGTGAGGTAGGTGCTATCCCCATTTTAACAGATGAGGAAACCAGCTAAACAATTCATTCGACGTTATATAGCTGGTAGGGCCGGGTCGCGATCCATGTAGGTTCTCGATCCACACGGATCTTTCCAGCAAAGTGTAGTTTTCCTTATCTGGTCTCCTTTTGGCACTTACCTGACTGCCTGACTCGTCAGGAGCTTTCTTTGCAGTAGTGCTATCATTAGTCCCTTCTTTTTACCCACGGATCGTGCGTGTATATGTAAAAGGAAAGCCAAAAGAAATATTGACTTGTTTTTGGGTTTGTTTTTTTTTTTTTTTTTTTTTTTTGATACCGGGGATCCAACTCAGGACCTTGTGCTTGTGAAGCAGGCGGCGGCACCACTGAGCTAAGTCCCCATTGACATCATTTATTTTTAATTATTTCAAGTTTTCTGATTTGAACAGTTGCAAAAGTACTCTAGAAGGGAAACGTCTTACTTTAATAAAAGATCAGATTTCATACAAAACTAACTTATTTTTCTGCCTCTTGGGATAATTTTTCTTTGGAGTACTAGGATTATTAAAAGCCCACTTAGAGTGACGTGTTCTTGTAGCATTGAGAATCTCTAGAACCTTCTAAGATGAGCCCTGGAGTAGCTCTCCCTGCTGAGGTTTTTGTTGCCACAGGCTACTCCCTGTAAGCCCCAGTCTTTCTTGGGATGTTTTGGAACTTGTTATTTATTCGGTTATTCGACTTTTTAAAAACCTTAAAGTTTCAAGTGGAAGGCAGAGTTTTCATGTTAGATATTAAATGCAAACATGAAAGATCAAGTTTCACAGACCAGATCATTGGAAGTGGTGTTTGTAAAGCCTCCGTGAAAATAATGCTCTTGTTTATGAACTGGTGTTTTCTTTTTATATGCTTCATGTAGATGAATGGACAGAGGTGGACAGAAAACGAGGTACGCTGTCTCTGGGCTGCATGTGTTCAGTCTGCACCCACAGGTTCACCCAGTCCGTTATCAGCGGGGCTTCAGGTGGGACCACTGGGGACATTTCCTTGTAAGAGCACGGGCCTGAATTTCTCTGCAGCTGAGACATCTCGGGATACGTTTGAATCTTTGACTTAAACGAAATCTGACATTTGACACTGACGTTTGATGTCTAACATTGGACGTTGTGTCAGCTGAAAACCAAGCAGACTTTGGCTAAAGGGCTGCACTGCTCCGAGGGGACCTTTTTCTCTTTTTGGTCCCAAGCTTTGCAGGGACAGCTCCATTCCTGGGTAGACCGACCTACTCGGCAGTCCTGAAACATCTATGTTACAGTGTCATGTGACCAAAGAATGTTGCTTCAGCTGTCCTCCGCCCACAGAGATATCTGTTGGGCAGCTGACATTACTGGGAGCGTGTGACTGTGTGGCTGCCGGCACTGTAGGCAAAAGGTCCAGTTTCATGCATGCATACGGCCTTTTCTTGCTAAACCTTTGGCTTCCCCTTTATCTACAGTGAGCAGCAACCCTGCCAAAGCTGCCAAGAGCTGCACATAAAACCTCTCGGCCTCATATGCCGCAGGAACCTTCCCTCCTTTGCTGTTTGAGCATGGTTTATGCCTTTCATCACCCACCCTCTCAATATTTGAAACGCTTCTTTCATGCCAAGTTTGCCGGAGCGATGACATAGGTCATCTGTAAGAGCACGGGCGTTCGAACGGAGCAGACCCCATCCGAATGTCACCTCCACCACCAGCTGTGTGACCTTGGATTTTAAACTCTCCAAGACTCAATTTTCCTCCCCAGTAGAATAAAGATGATAATTTCAGAGGCCGAGGATGTAGCTCAGTGGTGTTGTGCCTGCCTCACAAGCACAACATCCTGAGTTCGATCCCCAGTACCAAAAAAAAAAAAAGAAAATTCAGAGTTGTTTTGGAGTTTAAATGTGATAATGCACATAAAGTTCTCTGCCTAGGGTGTAAAGATTCACAGCTAATAATTCAGTAGGATTTCTTAACCTCCCTTTTGTTTAGCCTTGGCTCCAAATTGCATGTTCTCATAAACAAGTGAATTTAGAACAGAGGTACTTGATAAAAGTTCAGTTGCTTTCATCAAGATATTTCATCAGACCAGGCTTAAAGAGAAGCCTAAATAGAGTACTTGATACCCTTTTATTATATTTCACAGCCGTCTTTTCACACTTCTCTTGAGGAGTGTGTGGTCTAACCCATGGCGTGTGGTAGAATTCAAGGTGTGAAGTGTGGATTTGGAGGGCTTTCGCTTTCCCTATGCAAAATTGAGTCACTGGAATTTATTTTAATATAAGTGTCAAAAATAATGGGCTGGGGATTTAGCTCAGTGGCACAGCGCCTGCCTCAGAAGCACAAGGTCCTGAATTCGATCCCCAGTACCAGGAAAAAAAAAACAAAAGCAGTGAGTAGAAACTGATTTCATCATCTGAGTGCAAGCCTGGAAGCCTGATGCATTGCTGGACAGCCCAGTTACCGCCCGTTCTGATGAACTTTGACAAATCCCTTCCTGCGTCACCTTAGCCCCTTCCTGAAGAAATTCGCTACCCAGCGTGCTCTATTCCATCATTAGCTCTTTTTTTCCTTTTTTTTTTTTTAGTTTTTTTTTTAGTTTATTGGTACTTTTTAAATATACAGTACAGTTACGTTCATCACTGGGATCTTGTACCTTTACAGGACAGATCTTGGTTCTCGTTTTTTCCCCATACCCCTGCCCTCCCTTCGCCCCCTCCTCCCTCCACCATCGTTAGTTCTCAGAAAGTGCACAGAGCTCCTCTGAGTGCCAGAACTAACCACGACAGCCTCACAGTCTGATGAGAAGTATTGCTCCGGTGCAGATATGCACAGGCCGCCTCCCTAGGCAAAGCTGACATTTTCCTTCCTCTGTGTCCCCGTGGTGTTTTCCTCAGAGTCTGGTACACAGAAGCCTTGCCTCAGCCAAGTGCTAGGTGACACACACCGTGAGAAGAGAACCAGAGAACCGTGTGCCCCAGCACTCTTTCCAAAGAGTGAGCTGAGAGGCAGGATCCCATGAAGTCAGGAAACTTCCCTTCCCTCCCTGGGGGCGGGTGGATCGCTGCTGTTCCCTCTGCCTGGCCCACGAGCCTTCTGCAGGCCTCATGCAAGGCCTCACTGTGACCCAGAGCTTCCTCACTGGCTTTTTCCTTTGGGGAAGAAGCTAACAGTCACCTGAGATTTTTCTTTCTTTTGCGGCTGGTTAATGTGGAGCGAAGCAGTTTTCCTAGATCCCGATATTGGCTCAAACACACCAGAGAAAAGACAGCGTTTTGTAGGCGTTAACCTGGTCATTGCCATGGGATGCTTTCGCTCGAATTCTTCCTCTTTGGCAGCCCCTCTGGCCTGCAGAAATCCAAAAAATTCCTCACATTCTCCCTTCTGAGCACATACCTGCGGCTTTTAAGTTGTACTTGTTTCATTGTGAATTCTGCATTTTTATGTACATGCTAAGAAAACAAGTTTAAAAACCTAGTTTATTTCAGGTCCTTGCTTGTTTTAGTCAAAGGAAAAAAAGCCAGGCCTGAGGCAACCCCAGAAGGCTGCTGTGTCTCCAAGCTGTCCACACTCAGTGGGTAGGGCAGGCTGTGCTGAGTAGAAACTGTCAGAGGCAGGAGGGGATGCCAGAGCTGATAGGTTTAGCTTTTCCTACCTGAGTAATGGGATCAAGTGTGAACTCCGTACTTGTGTAAGGAGTCACAGTCAGTTTGTCCCCTTGCCCCTCTCCCTGAACCTTTTCCATTTAAGTACAGCCAGCCCTCAGCTCCCCTTCTCCATAAAATGGCTCAAGGTGCTTTCAGTCACTAGCCTGAGCCCTCACGTTACAGGCCTGAAACAGTCTCTCTGCTCGTCTCCCTTCACATTAAAGATCCAGAGCCACAGCCAACCACCTGACATGTCCTCTGGGTTCCGAGGAGTTTATATCTTTCAGAATGAATCGCTCATATTAAATCACTGATTTTATATAGTTCTTTAGAAACCTAGTTCTCGTTCAAATCGTAATTCGTATAAATATGTACTCTGGACATTAACAGGCTCTCCCCTTCAGGACACTATAACTGGCTTAACTAAGAGTCATCTGTGTCAACCACACCAGTCCGTATTTCTCATACCAGAGCATTTCCTAGCCCTTAACTAGTGATATTGGATCCAAAAGTGCAAAGTATCTAAGTGAATGGAGACTTAAAATTGTAGAATACGCCCTGTGTATTCTCACCAGATGGAAATTTTCATTTGAACAACATTAAGATACAGTACTGTGGTTTAAAATCAGTATTACAGACCAGATGTAGGCATGAAGGCGCCCTAAAACAGCACTGTACAAAATATATATGTCTTGTAGCAGCATTAAAAGTGTTATCATCTCTAGCCAGTGGATAGCCATATCTCTCTTCATAAAAGTTTTTCCAGAAAAAGCCCATTACCATTATTTGTTTCATTTTTATGAAACAATTTTAAATAAAAAATGTTTAGACCTTTTTTTTTTCTTAAATGTATGTGCTCTTTGTAGATTTAAACTAAAATGCTTCTAGGAATCTCTTTTAAGGAGAAAAAAACGCTTCCCTCACTACCAAGTGAGATCGTACATGTGAAAGGGGCTTCTCACTCAAGCACACCCCGTCTGCACATCGTCCTCACAGATGCGAGCCCTAAAGTGCTGTCACAGAGCCCTCCGAAGCCCCGCTTCCTCCTCAGGAAACCGAGCTCACCAAGCACACAGCATCCGGCTCTGTGTCTGCCCGGGCAGCGGTCCCATTTGTTATTGATTTGTTTTTTCCATATGGGAAATGGAACTCAGGACCTTGCGTTTGTTAGACAGGTGCGATGCCACTGAGCCACCTCCCCGGCCCTTATCAATCCCATTTGCGCCCTGAGACCATTTCCGCTGGTCCCTTCTTGCCTCAGCCATACTCTTTTGTCTCCACAGTTCTGAATGACATCATTATGACCATGTTCAATAGAAAGTTTATGGAGGAGTTGTTCAAACCCCAAGAGCTCTACTCCAAGAAGGCCCTGAGGACCATCTACGACCGCCTGGCTCACGCTTCCATAATGAGACTGAACCAGGCCAGCATGGACAAGGTGAGCAGCCAGCCAGCCCGTCGGCTTGGCCACCTCTCTTGTACTTTTCATGAATGGCCATGGAGTGGGGTCACAAGATGACATATGCATTGGTGCCTTGCAGGAAATAGCTACTTTTAAAAATTAACAGAAGCCAGGCACGGTGGCGCACGCCTGTAATCCTAGCACTCAGGAGGCTGAGGCAGGAGCATCGCTGGGAGTGTGAGACCAGCCTGGGCTATAGTGAGTTCCAGGGCAGTCTCAACTACATAGTGAGACCCTGTCTCAAAAAAGCAAAAAATTAAAACTTAGCAGTGGCTGTTGAGCAGTTTTAGAGTTGGGAAGGACCTCAGAAGTCACCCACCCTGATGCCTCTGTTGCTTCCGTCAATTCTTCCTACCCAAAGAGAATAGATTTTCAAGTCCATAGTTATGAGCGCTGGAATACAATGTGTGCCGCAACATGCGCAACTCTCAGAAGTTTAATTCTGCCTCATTCCTAAGGAACCTCAGCTCTGAGATGAGGAAACCGGGCATTTTTTAAAAGCTCAGGCTGGACTGAACTCACTGTGGCCCCCAGGCTGACTTGCACTTGCATCGATCTCCTGCCTTAGCCTCTTGGGTGTTGGCATCACAGGTGTGCGCCAGCATGTCGGGCTCCCACAAAGCCCCTTCCTGACCACCTTGGTCATCACCAGTTTCCCCGCTCTGGTCCCTCGGAGATAGCTCCTCCCACACGTGGGGCTTGTTGCTATCTTAGTAATGTTGTTCGTCGCTAAAAATGCTCCCCTACAGTAGTAAAACTCTCTCGCCAGGCCTGGGGGAGGAACTAGCCCATAATCCTAGCACTTGGGAGGCTGGGGCAGGAGGATCACTGTGAGTCTGGGGCCATCCTGGGCTACACAGTGAGTTCCTGCCCAGCCTGAACTATATAGTGGGACCCAGTCTCAAAAAAAAAAAAATAAAAAGTAAAATAATAGAACTCTGAGCGTGCCACTTGAATACGTGATCCTCTCACTTCTCAGCAGCGCTGCCATCTGGGAAATCAAGGAGTATATTTTATGGATGAGAAAACTCAGGCTCAGGGAAGTGAAGGAACTGGGCTGGGGTAGGGATGTAGCCCAGTGTCGGAGCGTGTGCTTCATGAGGACAGGTCTGTGTGTTTGATCCCCGGCACAGGAATGGAGGGAGAGGGAACCCATCGGAGTCGTACAGAACAGGCCGGCAGCAGAGGAGACTTGGGTCCAGGTCTCTTCCTCCACATCTGGTGCCCAGGACCCCCAGCTGCCAGGACTGTTTCCCACTTTTCTCATCTGCCATACGCATAAGCTCACCAGAAACCCTGGTTCGCTCAGCAGTGGCCCAGTCTGCTCCTGCCGTCTTAGCTTAGTTACTCCCATCGCCCCCTTGTCCTCTCAGAAGTGCCCTGCTTGGGGGATAACTGAGCCACCTGGTCAGCCCAGGGGTGATTTTCAGTGAATGCAGGACCGACTTCCTGCTGGAGATTCTCACGCCCACTTTTATGATCCTGTTTGCTTTGTTTTCGTGTGGGTTGACAGCTCTATGACCTGATGACTATGGCTTTCAAATATCAAGTATTACTGTGTCCCCGACCCAAGGACGTGCTGCTGGTCACTTTCAATCATTTAGATGCCATCAAGGGATTCATCCAAGACTCCCCGACCATCCTTCATCAAGTGGATGAGACTTTCCGGCAGCTAACAGAAGTAAGAGCTCCTCCGGTCTGTCAGCCCCTACCTGTTCTCACTGCGCTGTAAGAACAGGCGGATTAAGAATGGCAGAGGCTGCTGCTTCTCCCAGAGCATCCCCGGTCCCACCGGTGACCGTTCTGTGAACACGACAGGCATTGTCATCCAGTGGCCCCTGCTGTCACCTAAGTAGTTAGAAAAGCAGTAAAACAGAGCAGAGCAGAGCCATTTTCGGCTGCTTTTCTGGAAGGGAGTTGGTGGACATCCATCCCGGGACGGCCTCTCCAGGCCTGCGGAGAATGCAGACGCAGTGTCCCCCTGCTCAGCTATGGCATGGTAGACGTTGTCCAGCTGCGGAGCGGGGTGCCAGCGTCCCTGCAGCCCTTCTTTATCGGGCTCCTGTCCCTGAGCTCCCGACTCCTGCCCGTCCTCGTGACCTCTCGTCCCAGGAATGTGAAACCCTCTTCTGCTTTGCCTGGCAGGTGTACGGGGCCCTCTCGGCGGGTGAGTTCCGGCTGATCCGGCAGACACTCCTCCTCTTCTTCCAAGACCTGCACATCCGAGTGAGTGAGTGGGAACCGCTGCCCCCGCTGACCTAGGGAAATGCGGTCGTCAGGGCAGGCGGGGACTGAGATCTTGCCCAGTTAGGGCTGCCAGTCATGATTTGATCCGTGATGATACATGTTTTGGGGGTTTGTTCAGGTTCGTGATTTCTTTCTTTCTTGCAGTAATGAGAATTGAATGCAGGGCCTTCACACTGAGCAGTATCCCTGGCCCTCTAGTTTGTGATTCTGAGGCAGGGTCTGGCTAAGTCCCTGAATTTCCCAGGCTCCACTCAAACTTGTGACCCTCCTGCCTGAGCCTCTAAGATTACAGAACGCGCCACCACCCTCACTTCTGTGTTCATACACATTCTGATGCAACAAATCTCAGCAGTTTTCAAATGGACTGAGGAAGACCATGTCACCATTCTTTGCAAGTCACACTGTGAGTTTCTTTGAAATATGGTTTCATTTTTTGCTTCTGCACAGGGAAGTGTGTTTTTTTTTTTTTTTGTACCGGGGATCAAACTTGGGTCCTTGTGCTTGTGAGGCAGGCCACCAAACCACTGAGCTAAATCCCCGGCCAACCACCTACTTCATCATCACTGCTGTTGCTGCTATCATATCGTGATCATCACAAACACCACTACTAGCAGCAGCACCACCTTGTTTTTTTTTTTTTTTTTGTACCGGGGAATCGAACCCGGGTCCTTGTGCTTGCTAGGCAGGCTGGGAAGCGTGCTCTTGAGGCACCAGCCTGATCTTAACTTCCAAACCTTTTCTTAAGCCTTCTCATCCTGACTTGTCCAGCATCGTCCAGCTCTCCAACTCCAGGAAGCTAACATTTGGTGGACCTTCGTGCTCCATCCCACAGTGGCCTTCCCTTCCCATCTCGGCGCCCTGTTCCCTCCTCCCTCTCCTAGTCTCCAGGCCCTTCGTCCTCTTATCTCCCCCCACCCTGTCTCCTCCTCGGGACCTCTCCCTCCTCGCTTTGGCTGCCAGCTCCTTTGCCTGTGCACCTGAGTCCGACCTCCGCCCCGCTCCAACTCACGGTTCCGCCTTCGTACTGAAGCTCCAACACTGCTGCCCAGGACTTCCCCTCAGGGTCAGTGCTGCCCCAACTTTCCCATACCAGCATTCTTCGCTTACTTGGCTGAGCACCAGAATATCACCTCTGCTTTTGTGTATCAAGGACTGAACTCGGGACCTTGCACTTGAGAGGCAGGTGGTGGCAGCACTGAGCTAAATCCCCCGGCCAGAGTACACCTTTGAGTCCCCTCCCGTGGTCTTTCCAAACACCTTGCTGAGCTTCCGAACAGGAGGCCTCTCTTGGATGTGTCGTCATTCCTCCCCCAAACTAGCAAACTGAGATGGGAAAGGTGATGTGTGTCGGTCGGCTTTCCATCACTGGGACAAAATGCCTGAGAATAACAGCCGGAAGAGGAAAGGTGTCTTCCGGCTCAGTTTCCGGCCATGCTCAGCTAGGTCCGTTGCTGTGGACTTGGATGAGGCAGAACGTCGTGGCAGAAGGGCTTAGGGAGGCATGGCTGCTCACCTCACAGCGTCCAGGAAGCACAGAGGGAAGAGGCAGAGGGGAAGGGGCCCGGGACGAAACACACCGTGCACACCGACACCCTGAGCTGTGTTCCGTCAGACAGGCCCCACGTCCGAACCGGCCCACTCAGCCGAACTCACGCACGCGCAGTCCCTGACCTGAGGAAGCCGGAGCCCACCCGCCGGCGACCAGCACCGTGAGCCTTTGGGGGACACTTTGGGTCCCAGCCGTTACATTACGGTGCAGCAGCGGAAGCCCAGGCCCTGAAGTTCGACTCTGCGTTTGATGGCCGACTCCAGAACTAGCTCCATGATCTCGAGGACGTTACATCTCCGAGGCTTAGTCTCTCCCCTGAGAGATGGGAGCTGCGGAACCTGGCTCAAGCCTGTTGGCAGGATCGACCGGAGCACACACGGAATGTGTGTGTGCTGGTCTGCATATGGAAGGGCAGTCAAGAAGCTGGCCTTGCCGGCTCTCTGGGACGCCGGGGCTGTGTGGGGCTCGGGTCAGCAGCGGGACTCCCTTTCCTTTACAGATGCTCTCCTGAACCTTTCACAACTTGACACCTGTGCGCGTGTCATGTACAAAATAAAATTCAAAAAGGAGAGTATGTTTAGGATGCCAGTTTTACTAATTGTACTGTGCAGTGCACTCTTGATTTACAAACTTGATCAGTTCCCAAGGGCTGGGTGTAACTCAAGTTGGTTATAAGGAAGTCAGTACAGCTGAGATCTGGATATTTACCTGGATTCACAGCACAGGTAACAAGGGGCAGATGAATCTTCTTCCACTAACCTAATCAACCCACCTTGTCGGTATCGGGCCAGTTGTAATTTGTGGGTCCATAGTATTTGCTATGGATGGAGCAATAACAACATCAGTACAAATTAGGATCTCTACAGCTGGGCGTGGTGGCGCACGCCTATAATCCCAGCATTCCAGAGGCTGAGGCAGGAAAATCTCTGCAAGTTCAAAGCCATCCTGGGCTGCATAGTGAGTTCAAGGCCAGCCAGAACTGAATAGCAAGTCCCTATCTCAAAAACAAAAAAAATTAACATCTTAGTCATGGTCTAAAACAAAAATATGAAGGTACAAATAATAAGTTTTGCATCAAATTTAAAATCAATTTTAAAATACTTTTATTGAGTTTATTGGTACTTTTTAAGTATACAGCACAGTTACATTCATCATTGGGATTTTGGACCTTTGCATGAGTATCTGGTTCTTTTTTTTTTTTTGAGACAGGATCTCACTATGTAGCCTCAGCCTCCCGAGTGCTGGGATTACAGGCGTGCGCCACCATGCCTGGCTCTTGGTTCTTATTTTTTCCCCATACCCCTGCCCTCCCTTCACCCTCCTCCCCTGTTTACAAAGACTTTGTTTCCATTTTTTCCTTTTCTCATATTTTTTCTTGTCCCTTTATTTCCTTTCCCCTACCCTTCCCACTTTCAATTTTATTGAAAAATTGAAAAAAAATTGAAATATTGAAAATTCCATGTAGTATTCTTATCAAGACTGTGCACATTTGGGCATATTTTATGGTACGTAGTAATGCAAATAGTCATACTGAATTTTTAATTCTGACAAAATAAAATGAATTATAATAAGTCTTTCCTAATAATAATTCTGTAGCAAAAGCATTAAAATGTATTAAACCACAACACATATTAAGCTTTAGTTGCTAAATGGGCAGGAGTGAAACATTGACACGTTTATGAAGAGAAACAGGAATCACATGTTCACGATAGCCTGCCACTGATCTGTAACATCCGGGCTGGTGTCCGTGCCTGCTCAGTAATGGCATTTCTGTTTAGCTGCGAATTGTGGTTCCCTGTACAAATTCTCTCTGCTTCCAAAAGAGCCTTGATCATTTCTGGATTTGTTAGCAAAACCAACTAAATCAAGAAAACAGCTCTACTCTAATAAGTCCTTGAATATTGTTGAACCAAAGCAAATACAACACCTCCCGTCTAACAGCCCAGCTTTCTATGATATCACTAAACAGCCTGAAACGCCGCCAGTGTGGCCAAAGCCCTGACTTGCGCACCAAGGCTGGGCAGAGACTGCTCTCAGTCAAAGTCCGCCTGGGACCCTCAACAGTCACGACAGCTGTCTGGGCGCCGACCCCTCAGCCCTCTAGAATCCCTGTGGCGCTGCCTGCTCCCTGCAGGCTCCGTGGGTCACTCTCCCTACTCCCACCCATGCACCCTTCCGCCCTGCTCCGTGTCACTTGCTGGGAAGCATCATCCCTTCTCAGCCTCTTCCTAGACTGTTCCCTGCCACTCCGCTCCATGCCCTGCTCTCCGTGGAAATAGCTCATCCCTGGAAAAGTGAATCGAGCACATTTTCATGGGCTTCCTTTCATGTGTCTGAGACCCACAAATGATCAGGGCCAAGCCCTGCAGAAGAGACTGGCAAGATGACCGTGCCACGCTCCTGCGTGGTAATGTTCAGGGTGAGGGTAACATCAGGCAAAGCTATTCAGAGCAACACTGCCTAACAAGACTCACCGTGGGGATGGAAGCGATCCTTAGGTCTGCTGTCCAGCGTGCACCTCTCACCATGGGTGCTACTGAGCACTTGGAACATGAGGCTGAGAAACTGAACTTTTAATTTTACATAAATAGCCACACTCGATCAGTAGCTACTGCTTTTGGATAACACATCTTTAAATGATGGAGTTGGAGTCAAGGACAGCTTTTCTGAAAATATGACCCCAAAAGATCTCAGGGGGCCAGATATGGTGGCGTATGCCTGTAATTCCAGCACCTGGGAGGCTGAGGCAGGAGGATCTCTGAGTCGAGGCCAGCCTGGGCTATACAGTGAGTCCAAGGCCATCCTGGGCTACATAGTAACACCCTGTCTCGAACCTGCCCCCCCCAGAAGTCTATGTCCATGGAAACATACCCAGAAAAATGACACTAAATACGTTTTTTCCAGGTATCCATATTTCTAAAGGACAGAGTTCAGAATTCTAATGGTCGCTTTGTGTTGCCCGTATCGGGGCCTGTTCCCTGGGGAACCGAAGTTCCCGGACTCATCAGGTGAATCCTCAACCATAATTATCCAGCAAGCCTGAGGTGCCTCAGGTTCATTCCCCACCTGTTAAACGGTCGTAGGCCGATAGCAGTGCTCTGAAGTGCTCAGGGCCCTTGGCGTACGGTGTCGCTCCGTGAGTATCATGGCTACCGCAGTGTTCTTGTCATCAGTCGGCATCGTTTTCTTGAGGGAGTGCCTCAACTCCTTCTGTCCTGTAATACGGAGAGTAAGGAGGCCCTTCTGTGATGTCACGTTTTCTATTTTAGAATGTTCAACAGCAAAGGTGAAGAAGAGAAGAAGATAGAGTTCAAGCACGGTGGAAACTATGTCACTGCCCTCAAGGAAGGTTCCTTTGAACTTTATGGAGACCGGGTCCTGAAACTAGGAACTAACATGTAAGAATGAAAAAAGCCCATCCTGACTTCTGCTGTGGAAGTCCCTGCTGACAACTGCAGTCGTTTCCCCTTAGCTACAGTACTTGCAGAAAGGGCGGCCAAGACCTCCAAATGGGGCAACCCAGCAGGTTCCCAAGAAAGCTAGATCGAAAGAGCTGTGGAAGGCCAGGCTTGGTGGTACATTTGGGAGGCTGAGGCAGGAGGATCACCGTGAGTTCAAGGCCAGCCTGGGCTACATAGTGAGTTCAAGACCAGCCTGAACTACATGGCAAGACCCTGTCTCAAAAAACAAAAAAAACAAATAGCCATGGAAGAGAAGTAGCCAAAGCTTCTGTCTAAGTGGAAATCCAGAGAGACACCGCTTCTGTGTACCATGTGTCACTCTTTCCAAAGGGAGGCACTGCCACTCGGCTTCCTCAGGGATTTTTCTTTGGGAAGAAATAAAATAGGAGTGGTTAACGGTTACACCCTGCACTCATAGCACCTTTCTGGATTCCACTTAATGTAAGGAAGATAGCTGTGAACCACCCTGACAGTTCTGAAGGAAGTCAGAGAAAAGCACTAGACAATGTCATCCTTTCCTCTCGATGCCAGGTACAGCGTGAATCGGCCTGTGGAAACCCAGATGTCTGGAGCATCCAAGGATTCAGCCTCACGGGCACAGGTGAGCTTCTGCTCCCTCCCTCGTCCTCGCTGGCTCTTTCAAGGTTCAGAAATCTGCACAAGGGAAGGGTGGGAACACAAGAACTCAGAGCTAACCCACATTTCCCTCAGTGTTTGCCTTACAGGTTTGTAATTGTAACTTTCCGTGAAGCCTTCCAGTGATCTGACTAATTAGGTAATTTTAGGCTTGGTTCAACCACCATAATTAAGCAGGAACCACATATCAGGACATGTGAAATAGCATCGTCGCAGTGTCGTTGGGTACCGAGGTTGCCAAGTCCAGCACTTCTGTGCCTGCTGACTGTTAAATCATCCCGTCTTAATGTGTCCCTGTACAGTCATATGGTAGCTAAGTTCCAAATAGAGTTTTCGTTTCTTTTAATTCCAGCTTTATAAATTTTTACTAACTAGCTACCAGATAACTAAAGGACAAATCATGGAAGAGTCAGATAAGCAAAATTATCAAACTGCTTCTCTGGGCTGGGTGCCCGGGGACACAGCATAAATGTGGTCCCATCCCAAAGGGCCTGTAGTCCCCTGGGAAAGACAGTGGTAGAGAAAAGTAACTGTAATGAGGTGGAAGGTGAACGCAGTAAGTGCTCTGCACCAGGACACACTTTCTGTCCAGTGCGGTGGATGCTGAGGGACAGATAGTATCAAGAAGTCAGGCATTGTAGGGCACGCCTGTGATCCCAGCACGCAGGAGGCTGAGGCAGGAGGATCCCAGGGAGTTCAAGGCCAGCCTGGGCTACATGATGAGCTCAAGGCCAGCCTGAACTACGTAGCGAGACCCTGTCTCCGAAAACAAACAACCAGAAAAGAGAAGACTTTTCAGAGGAGCTGATACTAAAGTGTAGGGCTCTAGAGTATGTGAAATACTAAATAGCAAGAGATCAAATGTTGTCGTGCAGCCCAAGGTGACAAAGTGAGCAAAAGCAAGGGGGCAAAAGAGCAGGGAGAACTGTGTATCTACAAGACGAGATCGTAGCATAACTGGGGCAAGTGGAAGAGATCGCACTGGACAGGGACACGGGACTGGATTTTGCAAAGAGAGGGGATGTCTTAAACAACTTGAGTGTGTTCTTTACATAAGTAGTGGGGCTTGTTTCAAGCAAGAAAGATACAAGACAAGAATCGTGTTTTGGGTAACAGGTGGTTGTGCTTTAGAGAAAGCCAGGTAGTAAGGAAGGGCAAGGGCAGAAGTCTACTAAGGACAGTGAGTGGCCTCAAAGGCACATTACCAGCTATCACCACCAGAGGGCAGTGCGGGTGCTCCTCCGGGTGGTGTCCTTGCACCCAGAGCCTTGACTGGGGCTTCTGGTACCCGCAGAGGGAACTGGACTGACCACAGAGGAAGCCCTGCTGTTCTCTCTTCTGAGGAGGAGGAAGGTAGTCTGAGGAGAAGTGTGATCCCCAGGGCACCACACTCATCTTGAAAGTATGAGCATCTCCGGTTTGCTGCATTGCTGGATTCCCCCCGCTGCTGACACGGATTATTTTTCATTTAGCTCAGCCTGTTTTCTACACTTTAGTTGGACCCAGAAATAATTGAAACAGTTGTTGTTTTGCCTTGCTTTGTAAAACCTCTCTGGATCTCAGGGGTCTTTGCAGGAAGTGTGATCACCTTCATGTGGCTACAAATCATGCAATTGTTTCTGCAGGAAAGCATTGCTGCAAATCCTCTTGCCAAAGAAGAGCTGAATTTCCTGGCCAGGCTAATGGGAGGAATGGAGATTAAGAAACCCAGCGGCCCTGAACCAGGGTTCCGGATGAATCTCTTTACCACTGATGAAGAAGAGGAGTATGTTTCAACCCCGTTGTTTGTTTGTTTGTTTTGTTGGTACCATTGCGCTTGCAAGGCAGGTGGCGGCACCACTGAGCTAAATCCTCGGCCTTGAAACCTGTTCTTTAAAGACGTTTGTAAAAATCCTAAGTGTCCAGACATGATGATTACAAACCAGTGACACATATACAGAAGATCACAGATGAAATACCAACAAATTCAGTATCCTAGTTAAAGAGTTGCCTAGGATTAGACAGCCTGAACCTTCTGGATCCATTAAAAGGAGTGCTAGCCACATGTGGTGGCATACTTCTGTAATCCCAGCTCTCTGGGAGGCTGAAGCAGGAGGATCATAAATTGGAGCCCAGCCTAGACAATTTATCAAGACACTAGGGCCAGGGATTTAGCTCAGTGGTTCCACTGCCTGCCTCACAAGTGCAAAGTCCTGAGTTCCATCCCCAGTACTAAAAAAAAAACACTGTCTCACAGTAACAGCTGAAAAAGGATCAGAGTGCAGACCCTGAGTTTAATACCCAGTACCATTTTTAAAAAGAAAAAGAGGGCGAGGGATTTAGCTCAGTGGTTCCGCCACCTGCCTCGCAAGCTCAAGGACCCAAGTTTGATCCCCAGTACCAAAAAAAAAGAAAAGTGTAAAAAGAAAAAAATGAAAAGAAATTAGGAGGAAGTTGGACCTTGATGTCTTTGAGGTTAGACAGCCTCACAAAAACCAACAGCAGTAGTAATTCACCCAAGATTTACAGTGTTTTGTAGTTTATAATGTACTTATTTGTGTGTGTGGTGCTGGGGATTGAACCCAAGTGCCCTACCACTGAGCTACATCCCCACCCCACTTTGTGCTT